TCTAAAATCATTTGTGTCACTAGAAGAGGGCTGCCAAAACGCCCATGCCAGAATGCAACAAAAAAAGATATGAACAGAACTCAACTGGTAGTGGGTAAAATCCAGCCGGAGAAAGTGAAACCAGCGTAGCGCAGAATATGGCCTGAGTGAGAGGGTATATTATGGGAGAAGTTCAAGAAGACATAACCACTTCACTAGTGCTAATTTGCATTGAAGTGCAAACAAATGGAGTGCGAGAAGAATGAGACAGATGACAGCGGGCACCATCTGCAGTGGGAATGCGAAGCCTGATGTTCAACTCACCACCCACCAGAGGCAGAAAAACCGATGCAGTACTGCGTCAAAGATCTCCGCAAAGCCCAGCAGAAGCCGAATTACAGTGCAAAAACCGACTACACACGGATCATCCCAGATAAAACAGGTAAAAATGAGGAAGCATGGGTTGTGAGAATACGGCAGATTGGGATGCGCAACAAACCAGACCTGTTTTCCATCAACCTCAATATCGGCAACATAATTTTCAAATACCGTCGGCACATAAACGTCTGGAAACTGATCCTTGCTGAAGACAATCAACAGGCACGTCTTTCCTGAAATGAATCAACGTACATCGAAACTCAGAGGATACCGCAAACAACTGCTGGCTATCAACCTCAAACAGTGAAAAGTGAATAGGTGCTTTCAGGGACTTAAAAAACTTACAGTTACACGTGCACTGACAAGTGCACTCATCTCCCCCACCTTCCCGCCGACGTTCCCACTCCCCGGACACACACACACACACACACACGCATACAAAGTCACACACACGTACCTCAAGACAGACACAGTTCGATACACGCAAAGATGAGAGAGTGCTGCACTTCTCACTCATGACACTTGGAAAAAGAAGTTTACCACAAGCACCATCACCGACAATGACCAATTTTTTGCGAATAGCTGCCATGCCGAAGACAAACACCCTGGAAAGAATCCATAAAAGAGTCATTTTAGAAGAAAAACTGAGCAGCGCAACCGCGACCCCAATTCTACTGCACCCATGAAAACCCGGCTCCGCAGTTCGCCGCTGACATTAGCAAAACTAATAATCTGTGAGCAATTCGAGCGCAAAGAA